AAGCATCGTTACTCGTTTGATGAGCTACGCTCACTCGACTATGTTCCTTTTATTTTTATTCTCTTTTACTAAAAGAAGAGAAAAATCGTCGACGCCATTTTTGGCAATTCTATTTTTCTATCTCCTGTTCTTTATTTTTCACAAAACAAAATGTTTCCTCCTTCCATTATCTTTTCTAATTTTTTCTTTACGTCATTCGATATATTTCTATTATTTTCATCTGTAAAAATTTATAATTATATTATTATTATTATTATTATTATTATTATTATTATTATTATTATTATNTATAATTATATTATTATTATTATTATTATTATTATTATTATTATTATTATTATTATTATTATTATTATTATTATTATTATTATTATTATAATATTTATGTACAAAATTTCTTTCCTTTTTTTTCTTCAGATAATTTAATAAGAGTTTTTTGATAACTAGCAATATTGATCATTAACTGCAACCTTAGTTCAAACACTTACTACATTAGTAAATTGCTATTATGTTAAATGAATAATTTAACTTACGGACCACCCAGTATTACAATTCTTATTATCATACATAAATAAAAATCAATCTTTTAGGGTCTTTGCCTTTTCATCTTCGGTCTACTTGAAAAGATATAAAAAGGAAATCACTGATAGCAAAGTTGGAGATTTTCTTCCGACACTTGTGCCTATCTCTCTCTTTCTCTCTTTTATTCCTTCCTTTTCTTTCTCTTTCCTTTTTTATCCTATCTCTCTTACGTGTCCGCCCTTTAACTTCTGACACGCGTTTCAATTGGCCCGGTTACCAAGGAAACCAAGGAAGAAGCCGAGTGTCACGCGGACTATTGAAGAGGTTAAAGGGGACTTTCTGTGTTCACCAAAAACATTCTAACTTCTCTTTAAACTTCTCTTAGATCCCAATTGTGTACCGTTTAAATGTCCTTCTTCAAACAAGTGTTAACGAGCTTCCTGTGGATCGATTAGGTATGAATAAATCTTGTATTACAATTAGACAAATCTCTTAAATCGAAAGAAACAGTATCAAAAAATTACTTTTAATTTTAGTATTTTATTTATAAACGAACACATGTAAAACGCCATAAATCATAATTTTCATACGCAAATATATAATATAATTGATTCATTTTTTTAACATACATATTTTTTCATGTTTTATTTCATATCTTGTGTAGACATTATTTTTCACCTGTACATCTCATTTCTTTCAATTTTTATTAAACTAAAAAATATATATATTGTAATATAAAAAAAAAAAAAATAAAGGGAGAAAAGGAAGAAAAATTTGGATGAACGAAGAGTCGGCGCGCAGCACCTATTAGACTTTTAAATTTTTTTCGCGAGCGCATCGCTAGGTTAACGCCATTGTAAAAGACGGAACGAATACGCTTTGAAATAAAAAAAAAAAATAAATAAAAAAAGATAAAATAATAAAAGAATGAAAGAGAGAGAGAGAGAGAGAGAGAGAGAGAGAGAAATGTGAATTTTTATTCGGACCTGAAATGGTTCGTGTGAAATTGATAATAGCTCCCGCGTGACCACTAACCGAAGAAATCGTCCCGGGCTTGTGTCCACTGACAATTCGAATCTTCCTTTTTTTTTTGTTTCATCAAAAGAAATCAAAATTTCTCCTTCGAAAAAAATCTGATCGCCTAATTCTCTTTCAATCTCAATCACTTTGATCAAATTTCAATTATATCGATTGTTGTTATTTTTGAAATTTGTTGGAAGAAAACAATTGTTCGTTTATGAAATTGAACAGGGAAAAAATTGCACGAATTTTGAAAAATATAAAAATTTTGCTCACCTGACAGAAAAAAAAATGTTCTCTCTTTTTTTATTTTTGAAAAAGAACGATAGAAAAGGTGGAGATGGACAAAGAGAGTGGATAGGGGAAAAAGGAAAGACTATAACAGGAACGTCGATGAAGGGTCGGAGATCGGACAGAAAGAGATGAGAGAGAGAAAGAAAAAGAGAAGGGTGAAGGGTAAGGGAGGATGGTAAGGGGGGGGGGTTGGAGACTTTGCTACAGCACTATTAACAGCTAATGAAAATTAGCTTCTGTCGCTTGATTGAGCGACAAATCGCTCCTTTCTTGTTTCGGGAGAGAGGGTATGAGAAAGAAATAGAGAAAGAGAAAGAGAAAGAGAAAGAGAGAGAGAGAGAGAAACTTTAGTGTCGTTAAAACCAGCTTCACCTCTACTCTCTTTCTATTTCTCTCTTCTCTTTCGATCTGCGAACGTTTCGTAGAAAATTTCGAGCGCGTGTAATGACACTTTTCCTCGAAAATTACAATGCGAATAATTACTCTTGAGTTTCAAACTGATTCCAGTGTATTTTTCTTTTTTATATTTTTTTTTTGTATGTCTCATTTTTTTGTTTTGTTTTGTATTATTAAAAGATTTTTGATAAACTTATTTTTTTTTGCTTGCAACCGATAGCGAGCCAAATTAATTTTCATCGTGTTTTACTTAATTTTGATCCTATTTTCCCAAAGAGTATATATATATATATTATATTATTTTATTATATTATTATTTCAATTGTAATTTGAGATTTAAAAAATTTTTTTTTTGTCTCATCTTTTTGTTTTGTATTGTTAAAAGATTTTTGGGGCAAATTTATTTTTTTTTCTGCTTGCAACAAACCGCGAACCAAATTAATTTTCATCTTTTTATATTTAATTTTTATCCTATTTTCCCTAATTATATGTATATCTAAATTTATTTTATTATTATTTCAATTATAATTTGAAATTTTGCTTAATTGTTTTTCAATGAAGATTTTGAACTTCTTTTTATTTTTCTTTTTTTCTTAATTATTGAATTAGAATTATTATTCAAATAATAATAAAATTACGTGTACAAATACAATGATACCAGAATAATAATAAGAACGAATATAATGAAAACGATTTAATAGAAACGATCTTCCGCAAAAGCGTATCAAGACGGTTCCTTTAGAAACGAAGATATAAAATGTAAATTTCTCGCAACGAAACCGCAAGTCATTAAGGCTACTAGCTAGTATACTAATGGCGATACTCTATAAGCTGGTACAAGGTCTGCCCGAGCGGAACGGCATTACGGCTGTGGAATGTTTAGACGAGCGATCTAAACGAAACGGTAATGGACTGCAGAAGCAACTATAAAACTCCCACCTCTATCTTTCTCTCTCTCTCTTTCTCTTTCTCTTTCTCTTTCTCTTTCCTTTTTTCTATCTCTCTTTATTCTGTAACGCTTTTCAAGATGATCCTTTCCATTCAAGAAGCGAGCGGAACGAAGGATGCTCCTAATTGATTTCACATATGTACTCTTCATGTATGTATGTATATATATATGCATTTACGTATGCATTTATGTTACGCATTTATGCGTGAATGTGTGCGAATCAATGTATTATTTACACTTACGTACCTAAATACATTCACATATTAACGATTATTATCCTATCATTTTTTTTTTTTTATAAGAAACTACAAATGAGACGTAATGAAGTATCGTATGTTTGAAGTACTTTGTTGAATTCACAAAGTGGAGGAGAAAATTTGAAAGTCATTAAATGATGTGCTATAATATCGTTATGAAAAAAAAGGGAAAAAAGGTATTTCGTAATAAAAAAAAAAACACTTTTTCATATATGTAGATCCTTATTTGATCTTATTTGTAGTAAAAATTTCTAAAGGAAGTTTCTAATTAATTCGTTACTTACTAAACAAATTCTAATTGCTTACATCAAAATCATTTTTTTCTTCGAGATCCAAAGCTGAAGAAATATCTCAAAAAATGTTTATATTTTTGATAAATAAATAATTATTATTTTATAGAGAATGTATATTTATACAAAAAAAAGAAAAAAGATCTTTAATACGTTTAAAAATTGTTAAAAAAAAAAAAAACTATATGGAGATAAGTTGAAAAGTTATGAACTTAACATAAAAACAATTGTACATTACACGAAAGAAATAGAAGAATAAATGAAAAATAATATTTTATCAAAGTTTCAAAACCTGTAGAAAATTATCCTGATAATTAATTCGTTATCTGTTAAATCTAATTAAATGATAGTTTGGAAAATCACATGTTATAAGGTTTTTATACGTGTCCCTATAAGATCAGAAGCTACTGAAATGTCAAAGGAACTTTCTCTATCTCTATCTCACTCTTTCTTTCTTTCTTTCTTTCTTTCTTTCTGTTTCTTCTTTCTCTCCATGAAAGCCAATAACGAATAAGACGCACGTGAACTTCCTTTCGGCGATGGTAATGTAACTCTTTTGTTTATAACAGATGAGTGTCAGAACTAGAGTCGTCCCTTTTTTTTCTTCCGTTGGAACGAGAGTTAACTCTGTTAACTCTGCCGGTCGGCCGCGTCTGAATAAACATATCAGATGTCTGTTCAGCCCACCCAGAGAAAACGGGGGGGCGACTACTGACTATTAAAACTCTTATGGGAAAAGGCCCTCGTGGTGGCTCCTTCTCTCCTTAATATTTAACTATTTAAACTAATCCTTAAGCGAATTTTTCCACTTGCTCTCCTTATGGTCAATTTAACGAAAAAATTATAATGAGTATGGTAACACGAGAAAAAAAAATATATATATAGGGAAAAAAAATAAGAGGATCGTTAAACGGCATAGTTTTTACGAGCAACCCTACTTCAGAGATCATTATACAGATGTTTTCTTTTGGTCCAAAGTTTCTTTTTCTGTTATTGTTGTTCGAATTTCAGGTGAAGGGTTATAAGAAAAAGAAGAAAATCTTTTTGTTCTTTTTTTGTCTATCATTATCTTCATTTTTAATGCGTGGCCTTGTATTTTCTTTTTAATACATCTCGAATTGCCCTGACATTTACAGAGAAACGAGGTTAACATCGATCCCTTGTGTACGGATACAATAATAATAATAATAATAATAATAATAATAATAATAATAATAATAATAATAATAATAATAATAATTAATAATAATGATAATTGGTAATAATTCTTAGGCAACAAAATATAATCGACTTTTGCACAGGTATCTTTTTGTTCCTTTTCTTAAACGATATTGCACATACGCCATCTTTGGTACAATCAACGAGAAATTTAATAATCCTACAGAATATTTAATTACACGTAGGAACACACGATCTTCGAGGTAAAGAGGATGGTTGATTTAAGTTCGAGAAAGATGGAAAGATAGTAAATAAATATTTCGTCGATCGAACATTCTACTCCATGATTTCGTTAAACCAGTTTTTTTTTATACACTTATTTACAATCTAATTTACACGCTCGCACCTACTTTTTTTATCTATATAATTCATAATAAATTTATATATGTATACTAATAGGTGGATGGATTGAAAAGTTGTGAGCTCATTTTTATTTAAGGAAAGGAAAAAGTAAATAAAAGCTTTATTGTGTTAGAGCTCAAAACTTTCCAACCTCTCTCTACCAGCTTATATATTAGTATAAATATATTTATTATTATTTATAGAATGCTTTGACAACGAAGAATACTCGTCGTCATTTACAAATTGTTCACACGTTTAATAAATCTAAAATTATGGGGGTTTTTTTTAGTGTCCCTTTCCCTCTTTATTTTCTTTACATTTATATTCATTAGAATTTAATTTAATTTCTTTTCTTTATTTTTTCCTCCGATAAAAATTCGACAAACTAAACAACTCGTCAGAGATAAAAATGTCGATCAATGATTCTTGTGATTTTATTTTTTATTTTCCTGGTATTCGTTTATTTCACTTTCTGCAGAAATAAAACGTGATTTGATCGGATTTTGATAGAATTTCCATTTTACTTGTCGTTGGTCAATTTTGTTATTTGTCCCTGATCGAGATCCGGTGCGATAGCGTTTTGTACCTGAATGTGGGTGGAGTGTAATGGCGGACAAAGCAAAGGGTGATAGGGCAGACAATAGTAAGGGAAACCCCCGAGGGCTTTGTTCGCCGGATGAATTTGCGGGCTTGACATTTGTCCGGGAAGTTGACCGGAACCACGAAGAGGCAATCCTCTCAAATGTTCATCCGGATGTACCAAAACGCGTACGGCTACGCGTCTCGCGTTTCCGGAATTCACGATTGCACCTAATTCCTGTTGTTGACGTCTTTTGGTTTTATATCTGAAACAAAATTGTACCAAAGAATCGTTGAAAAATAATATTGTTACGTTTTATATTATAATATGTCAGTTAATAAAATATTCAAATATTTTATATTCCCAACAAAAAATATTGTAATTAATTATAATGAAAATATTATTATTTGATTAGGTTTTTTTTTTTAAACTACAATTTAAGACTTAAAGTTAAATGTTAAATGATAATTATTTGAGATACAAATTTTAAAATGTATATTATAATTTATAATATATAAAAGAATTCAAATAATTATTAATATTAAATCTTACCGTCGGTTTTGAAACCAAATCTTAACTTGCGTCTCGGTTAATTTTAATCCACGTGCAAGATCCGCTCTTTCAGGTCCTGACAAATATTTCTGCGCCGCAAATCTTCTTTCCAATTCGTAAACCTGTGCATGAGAGAATGCTGCTCTGCTACGTTTTTTTCTACTTTGCAAACTTTGTCCATGATTTTGCGACTCGAATATATCCTCTTCTATATCATCTGCAATACGAAAAAAAAAATGATATCATTTTCTTTTCAATTTTTTTTTTTTTTTTATATACAAATCCATCAAGTACTACTACTATTTATAAAAATTCGAAGAAAAGAAAATAATAATAATTTTCTCGCAAGTGAGTAAGGAACGTGTATTTACGTTTGTAAACAATCAGTCGGTTAGCAATATACAATGAGTTTAATTTTCGTACGAATCGAGAATGGCGCCTTTTGCGAAAGAAAATTGTTTTGCAGACGAATGTTTACATCTCGGTCGATAATCCGAAGCGACTGTGCTTTGCAGTTGGATGACTTGCTGGAGGATGGATCGGTATCCTGAAGTAATCATACTCTCGAGCAGCCATAGAAACGGTGATTTACTCGAAGAAAGAAAAAGAAAAAGAAAAACTGAGAGAGAAAGAGAGAGAGAGAGAGACAAGCAAGTGTACGCATTTCCTTAGCTTTTGATGTCTCGTTCAAACATTAACACGTGCCCTCGCTACTCCGACATGTTTACGCTTTTGCCCCAGCGTTAATTCTCCCTTCCCCTCTCCCCCCCCCACCGCCCCCTCTTTCGTCTCCTTTTTTTTTCTTCTCTGTAGATCGAGTAGCTCCGTGGAAGTGCAATCGCATCGTTCGCATCGTTGCATCCTAGCTCGTTCTACTTGGCAACGAGCCTAAGCTACTCGATTTTCTCTGCTACGCCGCAAGAATGGCCAGCCGTATTACGAAGAGTTTTCGAGTGCCAAATGAAAGGACTACTACTACCTATACCTACTTGCAAAATGAGGAAGACATTTTTGCCAGTAAATTAATTCGGGTTATCCAACGTTTTGGTTTTGTATGAATTGGATTTTTATCCGAATAGTCGGTTGTTTTTTTTAGATACGACTAACGTGTTTCTTGTAATTGGATAAAATATGAAAATTATTTTTAATTTATTTATTATATTGCGTTATTTTTATTCTTTTGAAATTGTAATTTGAGATATTTTCTTTCTAATATTTAGATACAATGATAAATGTTTTTGTAATTATAAGATTTGTTTATAATTTCATTTATTTGATAAGTATTTAATTAAATAAATAGTTAATGTATTCATAAATATATTTTGTAAATTTAAATAATAATTTGTAAGTATTTTAATTAAAGATAGAATTGTTTCAAGTAATATGTAATACACATTAATATTGTAGGGTGTTAATCTTTGTAATATTGATCACTTATATTACATACTAATATTTTGTTATTAATACTAACTATTTATTATAAAATACTGGAGTAATAACGTTTTTTGTCAAACAGAAATTTAAACCAACAATCACTCATTAATTTTTATTTATTATTAAATATTTTTTTCGAAACAATTTAATTGCAAAGTATAAACGTTAAGTAATGGAATTTATTATGAAAATAATTGTTTTTGTTTTGTTGCTTAAGATTTATCGTAATAGTCTCGACATAGACGTGATACGTTTAAATGGTGATCTATATTTGATCACTTTCGACGTCAAATCTGATGCCATCTCGTTCGAAGTTAATGCTTCCCTACTCTTAATGCTCTCGTCAAACATCCTACATCGCGTCTGTCTAAGAGAAAAGGAGAGAGAGAGAGAGAGAGAGAGAGACAGAGAGAGAGAGAAAAAGAATGACAGAGAGAGAGAAAGAGTCTGTGTGTTCAGGACGAGCAAGTGGTGTTAGTCCACTCCGATTACATCGATGACCCTTCGGATTCTTCATCTCTCTCTACTTTGACCGCTTGTTTTATCCAATGGGAATAGAAGTTTTTCTATGGTTTATTGAAATACGATGCCTATTAATATCCCATATCAAACATTAGAAGTTTATCCCGTTGATACATCTCATAACAATTTTTATAATCTTTTTTTATTATCATCGTTTTAATAATTTTGTATTTTTTGTTTGATTTATTTTTTTTTTTTTTATAATCAAAGATTCATTCGAAATTTTTTTATTTTTATAAACTTGAAATGAGTATCACTCTTATAAATTTTGGGATTTTTTAAAAATAATTTCTTAAGAAAGTGTTTATAATTCGAATGTCTCTGTAATTTAAATAATGATTTCTAATAACATCTTTATTTCTTCTTTCACTTTGTAATTTCAGCGATTAAATTTTATTTAAGATTTTAATATAGTAAATATTATTGAATAAATTTCATCGAAGATATTATTTATTAATACAAAAAAATTTGTACCACATACAAAAATGTTGTGACTTCATTTAGAAAATGTTAAAAGTTATATAAAATGAAATGAAAGGAAGGAAGGAAGGAAGCAAAACGGAAGCGGACGTAGAACGAAAATGTGATTCGTTTACGAAATGCTATATATTTCATAGTTATTGCACGAGATTGACCAAGATAATATATAGGAAACACATAGATAACATCGATGCACGTATAAAGCGACCACAGGGGTGGATTTCTCGTTAAAAGGACTTGTAATTTTCTGAGTACAGGTTGAAACGGTGCCAACTCGTGCCGGTTACTCTACAACTCGGGTGAGAAAGCATTAGTTTAATTGAGGGTTTTAGAATAGTTCGATGTTTTTCAAGCTCTGCCGTAATATCATTTATTTATTTAAAAACATATAAATCATTTTAAAATAATTTACATTCATAATAAGATTTTTATTTTGTTCTTTTTATTTATATCATCATCAATGACGCAAAAAAATATGACGCGAACGTATGCTAGTCGAATGAAAACTTACGGGACGACGAATCGTTAAAAGCATGATTGATTTTCGCATTTCTATCCGCGTTACGGTTAGGGGAATTTTCTGTTTACTCTTAAAGAAACGAATAGTGCCATTTCGACGATGTAATTTCATACGGATTGAAGTAAGGCGTCGGGATGACATTAATCGATAAAATCAAACGTTTGTAATAATCGATCATCTAACATTTTTCACATTTTTCAGAACAAAGTTTTCAAATGATTTGTATTAGAGTGAGAAGGCGATTTTGAAATTTTTAAACTCGATTACTTCCGGGCAACAAATTTCATAACCTTGATCTAAATACGTGTACGAAGTAATCTATAAATTTTTGATTCTCTCTCTTCCTATCTTGAAAGAAAGAGAAAGAAAGAGAGAGAAAGATACAGAGTAACAGTGTACGCCAGGAGATCGGACAAGTGCACAAGAAGAAGAAGAACAAGAAGAAGTAGAGTAGCAAGCACTTGTGACGTCTGCCCGCTCGAGTGGCACTTATGCTACTAAAATTACATTCAATTACGTTATCTGTGCTCGGGTTAACTTTAAAACCGCTTGAAAAGCTCGCCTGTTACAAGGATACCGGGTTCTAAATGATCTCTTAAGTATATATCCTCGTGGCTGACACACAATCCTCTGGAAGGGTTTATTAGTTTGTACCTACACCAATTCACTTAACGCAATAATAACAAAAAGGAAAAAAACTCTAATTGTAATTCTTTAATCTAACATGGTACATTGGATTTTAGGAATGTTAAAGAACAGAAGGAAAAATAAAGTAATTAATTATAGTACTTACCAAGATATTTGTTCTTGCTCATATCCAGTGCCTCGTCCTGTTGTCTTTGTGATGATTCCCTGGATTCTTTGGTGGTCTGATAAGCTGGTAGGTTACCCAAAGTTTCTAGATGCTTGAAAGATGCCTGCCCTAAGTGCGGCAAACCACCGAAACTCGTGAGATTAGCATGAGCTAGATTTCTCCTGAGTATATCCAATTCTCGTGCCATGTTAGTGTCGGGCGAGGGTAATCTTGGAAAACCAGTTACGATTAAACGTTGTTCCCGCTCGATTTGTCCTACTCCTCCTCCTCCTCCTCCTCCGTTATTAATATCACGTTCGAACGTTCTCTTAATCGAATCGCAAACACCTGATTGAATAATTTCGTCGGATTCGGTGACGATCATACGTTGTTTTTCGTGTTCACCGTTTGACGTTCTACGACTTAGAATATCAGCGATGCTGAAAGGTGTGGGTTGAGAAGGTTTAGGTGACGTTTCGCTTCTTTTCTCCTCCTCCATCCTTTACAAATATCCTTTTTTAATTTTTTTTATATATATACACACTAGAATAATCCCTTAATCTTAATGATTCCTAATCAAATAATTTTACCAATCTTTGACACACTCGCATCAATTAAACGTACGACTCAATAAATGTTCGCATGTATATCAAACACATTTTTCTTTTGATCTTTTTCCGTTCATATCATAAATTTACTATATTTTAATCATTTAAACACCATAAGATAACTAGTTATTTCGACAATCACTTTTTTTCTGAAACACTTTGAAACAAAAACACAAGATTTACTTTCGTGTTAAAAGAGACACGTCAAATAATTTTAAAGGATTATTAACAATCGACAATTGATTGTTCTCTCTTGTTCGTCTCTCCCTCTCTCTCTCTCTCTTTTTCTTTCCTCTCTCTTTTGCTTTTGGATCGGGTTATTAATCCTCAGTCAGAGCACTCGCCGGCACTCTCGCAACTTGCTCACACTCGACGTAGGAGCGGTCTCTTCGATGAAGTGTGGTGCTTGTCGCGCGCGCGCCTCCTCCAACTTATTTTTCCAATTGCTCCCGAATTGAAACCGCCTCCTCCGCGAGGAGCCCTTCTTCCTGCGCCCCTTTTTCGGGACGCCTTCCCACCCTCTCTCATCCTACTACTACTACTACTACTATGACTACTACTATTACAAGTGTCTTCTTCCCCTACTATCTCGGACCACAACCCGATTCTCCCCACTTTTACTCTACTCTGCTACCCCCTCTTCTCTCTTTCTCTCTCTCTCTCTCTCTCTCTCTCTCATATTTTGAGTTTAATGTTTCGATAGTATCATTCTGTCTCTGTTTCTTTCACACATTGTTCATCCTGAAAGTCACTTACGAAGATTCGAATAAGCACTAGAGTATATATTCTTTTCTTTCTCTTTCTCTTTCTCTTTCTCTTTCTCTTTCTCTTTCTCTTTCTCTTTCTCTTTTTCTTTCTCTTTCTCTTTCTCTTTCTCTTTCTCTTTCTCTTTCTCTTTCTCTTTCTCTTTCTCTTTCTCTTTCTCTTTTTCTTTCTCTTTCTCTTTCTCTTTCTTGCTTTCTTTCTTACACATTTAAATCGAACATTCTTTTATGAATGAATTCACGTATACTGTTTTCTCTTACACATATCGGTGACACATGGTCTCCTCTCTTTCTTTCTTAAACGTTTTATTAATGTTATTTTTATATGTATTTCTAATTTTTATTATTTATTAAAATTCTTTGATAATTTTTATGATGAACAATTACTTGTATATTTGAACACACATTTACAGATTACGTATTACTTCTTATTTTTCTTGCTATTTTTTATTAATAAGAACTATTTAATATTATTTTTTTTTCAACGAAATCCTTGCAATCGTTGGGTCTTTTAAAATTGTTTTCTTGCAACTCCTTTCAATTGTCTTCTATCTCTCGTAGAGGGTGGTACTTTCTCACCTTTTATCCTCTCATCTATTATCCTCTTCTATTGGGTCAGGGAAAAAGTTTCCTCGTATTTTCCAGGTAATTGATCTTTAAGATCGAATAACTTTGGTAATACTAAACCTGCATGTATTTGAAAGCTGAAATATCATATGGTAATTTGTGGTATTTGTCTATTCAGTTAATAATTTTATTAGGTTTTGATAATAAGGGAAATTAAAGAAGAAATATGATATACGTTTTTGAAATTTTATAACAAAAAAGAAAAGAACTCGATTCAGGTTGTTTAAATAATTCGTGACATTTATAAATACGGTGCAAGTATTGGTCATCACCTGGTACTAATCAGTTTCGAAAGTTTTTAATTTAAAAATTTTTAATGCTAAAAATGCACCTAATTTTTATCGATAGAATGCATAGCTATGGTGAACAAATATTTAGAAAATTATTTGATGAAAATTGAATGAAAAAATATGAACAAAAATTTGTTTCAACTTTTGCATTAAAATACGAAGAAACTTTACCCCCGACCCAATATATTCCACATCAGTGTATTTCTCTTTCTCTCTCTCTCTCTCTCTCTCTTATGCTGAACGCGTGTTATAGGTAGGTGGAGCTTTGACCTCCTTCCGCTTAGCTTTCCGTAGGATCGTTTCCGTTGAACGACGGGGATGCCTCGCCCTACAGCCAATCAACGGGTTTTAGTACAACAAGACTTTTCAATGTAGGACCAATGGTCGTGAACCGAGAATATACTCTGAACCATCTCTCCTTCTCGAGATGTTCGGAGTGGGATTCTACCCGCGAGTGGGTTCTTCAATTCTCTCTCTCTTTCTCTTTCTATCTCTTTACATTTAGTTACGTCTCATTCTATTCGTCTGACATATTTCCTCTCTCTCTCTCTCTTTTTTTTTACGATCTGTTCTACTCGTCCGGTAGAGAATGATCGACTCTTATTCAAAACAGAAAAAGATGCATGCATTCGTGATGAGAGGAAATTTCCGTCTATGTATATTGAATTTTGTATTTTACATTTTATATAAGATAATTTTTTTATTTTTAATTTAATATTCTGTACATCAAAATAGAGAAATATTTTTCATTTTTATTTTGTAGACGAAAATATACTCTTATTCTTATTATACATATATACCTGTATATAAAATTATTAAAGATTTTTCTTTTATTTTGTACAGAGAGTATTGTAAAGTATTGTAATGGTATTTAGTATTGTAAAGATTATTGTTTGTTTTTGAATTATTTTTTTTTGTTATTTTTTTTTTTTATGTCCGCGTGTCCATTAATTACTCCATCATTTTTACACTTGGGTAAATACACACTAGGTGATGTCATTTAAGACGATTTATCATCCTATAAGACATTTTTAAACATTACCGTTCACACCGATGGCGACGTTAAAGAGTTAAATGTTATATCCAATAATTTCATCAATAACATTTTTATTATTGTTCCATTTAAAAAATCTAATCTATAATTTAAATATCAAAAAAATATATATATATATATTTAAAATATTAGAAATGTTAAAGAAAGATTTATAATCAAACACATTTTCTATGTCTCATTTTTCTTCTCTAAAAATTTGTCCAATTCTAAAATTTGCAATTTAATTAAGAAATATATTCGACAATTTAGGAATATAAAAGTGAGTTTTAGATTTATGAATATGAAACATCCAAAATTTCTTTCTCCTTTTATCTCTAATTCTCTCTCTTTCTCTTTCTCTTGTTAGAATAGATATAGAAGGATACGTACTATAGATAGTAGTCTAGTAGCACCTAGGTAGTACTTCCTCTCGTATCGAGACGAGAGAAACTGCGCGGTGCATATATAGGGTGTACTTTACATAACAATTGTCGCTAAAGACTTGCAGTATTGTCCGCCACGTGCTACTGGTCCAGAGTTCCTATGTCGGTTTAATTAAGTGTGAACCACAGAAGCGTAGACTACGCCTCACTTCATCCGATGATGACCTTGTACGTTTTAGATATCGATGAACAAATCATTTCACTTTAGTAATACGCAATGCATACTTTCATCTTCAATATATTTTTTTTTACGAGATTCTAATATTTCTATCAATCATATTTTCTTATATTTCATTTCTTAGAATTTATTCTCAAATAAAATTCATTTTTATAATATAACTTATAATTTGTGAAATATAAATGTGTGGAAATACAATTTTACGTACATTGATCTCATTTTTTTGTGTTTATAATATTTATTCCTTTACTAATCAGGTAAATGTAAATTTTTATAATTGAAATATCTATATGAGTATATAATTCCATTTTTGTATTATATAAAATATTTTTATTCTTTTATAAATATTAAATTAAAGTTATTATCTTTATTTTATTTTCATTTGAACAAATTAATTAATAAGTAAGTCTTAATATCAATATTATTATTCTCCCATTCTAAGCTCAAAATGACGACAAATAAATTTACTAAAAAAAAATTGTTCTCTTTGTTCTTTCTCGATTATAAAAGTAAGTAAAAAAAAAAAAAAGAGATAAAATAAAAAGAAAGAGAGTGAACGATGGTAACCGAGCCGGAAAAACGGTGTGCTCGTCTTCGCTTCCCTTCATCGAGCTTCTTACCTACGAACGAGGCACGATTCGATGGGTAATCTTAAGAAATCGACCAATAGAAAGTTCGAAAGAGAGAAAAAGAAAGAGATAAAGTTCGAAAGAAAGAGGGAGAGAGTAAGAGAGATCCTGGAAGTTTTAGTTTTTTTTTTATCTTTCTTTATTCCATCTCTCTGCTCTTCTTCTCTCCGTTAGATTCGATCTAATCAATAATAAATTATAGGGGGGGTTTGGTTCGGTGGTGGGTACATCTCTTTCCCCTTAGAACCAACGTCTGACCCTCCCGCTCAATTGGTCGCAATTCTTAAAGACCTTAATTGGCGCGGAAAATTATACCTTATTTCAGTTATCCCCACCGTTCTAGATAAAGCAGACGAGTTTTCTCTTTCTTTCTTTCACATTACTTTCATTATTTCTTTCTCTTTTGCTCACTCGCCCTTCTTTTTCACCCTTAAACTGTGCTACTTCGTCGCCTCTTTTGCTTCCTTCTCTTCTTCGAATTCGTTCTTCTATTCTATACACACACACACACACACGCACACTTTTTCTTTCTCTTTCTCTTTCAAAGATATTTCTTTCCTCTCTTTCCTGAGCAATCGCTCGAAATATCGACGATTTGCGGCCGTCTAAACGTTTTATTCCAACAGGAAGGGCCGGTCCGATCTCCTAAGGTTTTACTATAGACTACTTTTCATGCGGTAGATCCTTAAAAAAAAAAAAAAAAAACTATCCTGATGATCTTTGTACGTGTCTTTTTATTTAACTTTGATACTTTTTTTTCTGGTTTTCAACTTCAAGAGATTCGTAATGTAATAAAAACATTTATTTCGGGATGTGTCAACTCAAAGTCGAATGCTACGACATCAAAGTATATTTCATTTTTTTCTATCTTTAAAAAGAGATTAACGTTTTATCATTCGAATTATTAAATATATCCTTTGTTTATATTTTTGTTTTATTTTCTTCAAAATAATTATGTTTATCCATCTTTAAGTGGACATTACTTTAAAATATAATCGAATCATTGAATTTTAATAATATTTCACATACATACACACACATATATATATATATATATATATATATATATATATTTTTTTTTTATCAAGGTTAGTAATTGATAAAAATAAAATATTATTTACAACAAACACGTTTGTTTTTGAAGATAGTAAGAACGAAATCAAGATATTTAAATTCTTCGACGGATATAAATATATTTAACGAAATATATCATTGAATCTATAAGTGCGAATACAATAAAGCATTTAAAGAGATCTCTCTCTCTCTCATAAAGAGATCACATAATTTTCAAAGAAAATCCGATCGGAACGTTAGGAACGTGGTTGTTGGAGCTTTTAGAAAGTTCATGAATTTATTTAAAGACGGTCGCCCAGGTTTCCGCGAAATTTACCGAGGAGAAAGGCTCGCGTCGTCGTCGTCGTCGTCTCCTACGAGATTCAAGTGCAAAGAGATAGATAGATATATAAAGTGAGAAATAGAATGATAGAATGAGAAAGAGAACATAAACGTTTAACTTAGTTTTAACCGCGTCGAGTATTAGGAGCAGGAAATTTCGCTCTCGCGTCGAGACGTCTCGTCTTTCTGACGAAACGAAAGCGATCGACGTATCCGTGTAAAAGGCGATCACGAGAAAGATGAACTATCTCTCTCTTTCTCTTTCTCTCTCTCTCTTTTTATCTCTTTTTATTTCTTTCTTCATGAGCGAATACGTTCGTTCGTATGCGCGCGCGCGCGCTCACGTTCATCCTAAGAATATAAAAACAAGAAGACCGGATGACTGCTAACTGTTTGTTAGTCTTGGCTTTTAAAGTCCGCGCGTCTGTCAGTTCAGAGATGTAATATTAGTGCTTATAGCTCGTGTACATTTTCTATGTATAAGTTTTCTATATGTTTATGTATGTATGTAGTTAAGGGATGTATGATTTTGTCTTGGTACATGGGTGGGTGTGTTTCTGTGTGTGTGTCTTGTAAGCGCCAGCATCTTCTTTCTCTCCTTTTCTTTACCTCTTCTTCCTTCATCCTTTCTTCTCTTTCTATCTCTCTATTTTTCTTTCTTCTTTCTTATTCTTCTTTATTTCCTCTTCGTCGTCTCTTTCAAAAAATGAATAGACGCGAATGACGTCCGGACTTCGTTGAATTTGATGACCAATTAGTGGACGACGAATTTGTTTTTGATATATGTTCTCGTTTTTTCGGTTTTTTTTTTTTTAGACATATCAATAAGAACTTTTGCGTGTACTTTTTTATAAATATATAATTCTTTTTTATGGGTCTTACGACGAAATATGTATCGCAATTTTTTTTTTTAATGATATATATATATTTTTGTTTAATATTAAATATATATTGGATATATTTTGTTTGTTTCATTTATATTGTACACTAAATTATGTAAAAAAATATGTATCAAAAAATACATACACTTAATGTAATAAATTAAACTATAAAAAAATTTGTATTTATATTATATAAAAAGTATGATCACTTGAAAATTGAGTTCATTTTGTATAACAGTTATTATATTTTTATGTGTTAAAGTCTAATAGTATCTTGAGCTTCTTCTGCTTCTCTTCGTTCTCGTTTCAAGATGTAACGAGATGTTATAAATCATTGTTGCTTAAATGTTCTCTCCACAGAAATACCAAAGCAGTTGTTTTTTTTGGCTACGAATCTATCGAAGCTCATCGTTAAAGTTTAACATAGCAATTTGTTTCCCTTTTTGTGTTTAGATAACTCGTTTATTGAAATGTTTATCGCAAATTATTTAGAGTTAGTTAATACTGATTATATTTTAAGAAAAATTTTGTATTTATATTCAATATATTTTATTTATTTATAATAATTCATTAAAAAATCATTTTGGTTAAAGTAGAGTGCACCACAAAATAGTTTCATGTGATTTAAAGGAAATGAACTTATCAAGAGTCGGTATAACAGAAATCTACGTGTCAAGAAAAAATTATTACGGTTGATAAGGTAATTTCCTTTCTTATCATGGTAAAAAAGGAATCTACAGAACTGGTCATTGATATTTAAGTAGTAAAAAGAAATCTTTTCTTCTTCAATTTGTATAAAACAAAAATTTTAAAAATAAATCCTAACAAATTTTCTAAATCGATTATTACACTTCATAATGAATTTAAAATATCCAAGTTTTAAAGTATTTATCGAGCGATTGATTATCAAAGTAGTCTACGTCAAACTTATGGTATGCAATACACGTATTAAGTCATAGCTTAAATTAGAAAAGTACTATAAACTGATCGCTCAAGTAAGCTAAAATTTTCTAACCGTTTCTATGTTTAATACGATACTTAAAAGCTTTGTGAACTTTTTTCAAATTAAGATATTTTTATTTTTTTCTTATTCTTAAATAAGAAATAAAATAAATGTCAGCAAGTTAATTTTCTTAAAAAGAAAAAAGAAAGAAAAACAAACAAGAAAGGAATGCACCACGCAGGGCAGTGATTTATGATACTAATTAAGAAAAAGGGAGAAACAGTGAGAGAGGGAGGGGGGAGGAGGGAAAAAACGAGTCAATTAGGCAATATACGTCATGTGTCGCGGTTAAACGTTTTACGCATAGAAGAAGGGAATCTATTTGAACTTAATCGCGTGCCTACCCTTTTGAGGGAATTCCCCCTCTTCGAGTTTGCTTACAGGCAAATAGGATCATATTTCGATGTTAAACGTCCCGTGATTGATCATATGAATATATGACCGTATATAATGGACGGTCATCGATTTACAAAGAAGAAAAATATCGTAGGAAATCTATTTAACGATGCATTCGTATGCGTTCCGAAGATGAAGAATTGCATTTTCAAAAAAAAAAAACTTCATATATCAAATATTAAATCTTGACTAAAATAATCACTTTAAATTAAATTCACAAAAATATATGATATCTCTACATAATAAATTTGTAAAATTAGTTTGAATAATAATAATAATAATAATAATAATATTAATAATAAAAGAAGAAAAATAAATAAAATGAATACTCATTTGATTTTATTATTTTAATAAATCATTTTCTCACACTCACACAATATCATACATCGATTCAAAGTTATGATCAGACTTTTTATTTCTTTTTTTTTTTTTACACAAATCAAAAGATAAAAATTCAATCATTCTCTTTGTTTCTTCATATACATGCACACATAAACGTACACATACATACAAACATACGTATTAACATATGTAACCCATGTAATAATTAAGGTTCACGTGGGAAAGTGATCTCGGTCGATGTTGAGAAAAATGAAGACCGACATTTTTATCAGCATGTTCCCATGGCCCTTTTATAGTGGCGGTAGCACCACGAAACACGATTACAAGAAGAGCACCAAGTTCATACACAAAGTAATGTTATGCACACCAAAGTATAGTCATCTATGTACACGTACGTATGTACGTACGTACGGGGGGCACTTGACTGCCAGATGACCCGTCGTGTTCATGCGATAACCTAAAAGGCACCCATGGCTTCGCTCAAGCTGTCAGAACTCACCTATTTATAAATGCCGTTTTGCTAGATTATTTCAATATCAAATTTAATTTTCTATAGCCAATTATATTTCCTTTCGTTCTTACCACTTCTACCCTTGTATCAAATTTTTTATGTTTATTTTATATATATTTTTTTATTATGTTTGTTTCAATTTATTTGTTACGTTAAATGTATAAACGAAATAAACAAAAAAAGAAATTAATAGTAGCGATGAAAAAAGACTATCACTTTAAGATGATGGAAGGTGAACCCCGAGTGTGGCGCTAATCGAGTTCAAGTGCCACGAATGTGTTCCCCCGTTGGCTGCGTAAATCTTAAAGGATGATAAAAAAAAAAAAAAAGAAGGGAAATAACTTTGAATTTATGCTACACTGTGCGATAACATGAAGCAAGGTATCTTTTTCCGGTAGCGTTTAAGTATGATTAAAGATTGTCCATGTTTTTTTGATAAGATTTAAATAAAGTGATTTTTATGTGATCGTTAGAGATTTTTCTTTAATTATTATGACGATGATCAGGTGTTTTGGGAATTTCACTTAAGGATGGGTCGGAATCTAAAAAAAGAAATTTTACGATGAGACACAAGTTATATACGCGGAATGCCGAGTTAAATGTTTCCGCAAAAACCACTTGAAGCGGTTTCCGTTGCGGCCACTCAAGGCTTTCTATCCTTGGATTTATCCTAGAGCGAGTGAGAAAGAAATAAAGAAAGGAAGAAGCAAAAAAAAACCTTACCTAACTAAAGCTATTAAGAAAAAAGAAAAAATCTTAAAAGAACAGCTGCCAATAACTAAATAACTAAATTTCCCAACTAAGATTTGGTTTTTTCTTTTTTTTTTTCTCTTTTTTTTTTAATAAAAACTACAATTACACGAGTTGACGTTTAAAGAAAATTTTTAATGTAAATTTAATCTACCTCTTTGGTTGATAATTAATAAAAAAAAATCAATGGGCTCGCATCTTTGGTACAAATTTGGAGATTCGTCGTTCCAACATCATCGGAGTCTTTGAATATTCGAATTTAATCATTATAAATTCGAAATCGAATTAATTAATTAGTATAAAAATGTAAATGTCACTTTCAAGTTCATTAATCGAATTATCGCATTTTCTTTACCACAATCGTTGAAGATTTTGATCCATTCCTGAAATCGGTGATTCAATTGTGTTCACGTATTGCATCGGATAATTTAACGGACCAATGTAATTAGTGAAACCATAATCGCCACTTGTAACGTCCATTATACCAGCTCGACATTCAGCTACCATTTTGTTTTCCGTTGGTACACATTTTAAATCTGAAAATGAGACATCGTTGACTGGATTCGTTGTACCCTTGTATTCGGTTTTGATCGTTCTGACACACTCGTGAACACTCGGACGTAATTCAGATACGAAATTGCTTCTGTATTCGTTGTTTAACATTTGTTGTCTTTGTTGTACGTCAACGTTTAGTACTGGTCTATTATTGTGATCAGAATTATGAACATCGTTTCTGAACTCTGGACTGATACTTGAATCCATTTTAATTTCATTAGAATTTGATCTAAATTCTGGGCTCAATCTGACGATCGATTCCGAATTCCTAAAATCTCCTTGCATGTTCATCGACATATCGGATCGAACGTTTGACCAATAAGGAACGTTGTAAGCCTCGTGAACATTAGGTTTGCCATCCTTGATCAATACGGGTACAGAAATTTTCTTCAATGATTGATTCTTCATACCTTGTACTTGTAATTTTTCAGCATCTTCGATTCGTGCTCGTTTGTTCTTGTAACGACGATTTTGGAACCAGATTTTCACCTGAGTACTACTGAGTTTCAAATTTTGTGCTAATAATTCACGTTCCGGTGCACTCAGGTAACGTTGTTGCTTGAAACGTTGTTCCAATTCATAAACTTGTGTCTGGATAAGAAAATAAAACAATTTTTGGTTTGAAATTTACAAATATATGTAAGCTTGTCTAATGATTTTAGAAACATTTTTTAGTTTACCTGGGAAAATAATACTCGTGGTTTTCTTTTCGTTCTTTTACCGGACTGACTTTTCCGTAATTCTGTTTTGCTCGATGTCACGATGTTTCCTTGAAGAGAATATATAATTGTTAAAATTTAATAAAAGTGCATTTTTGAACGAAATTATAGAAAATCAAATTCGTACAAATAGTATTATTAAAATTCTGAACTATTTATAGTTCGATTTTATATAAATTTTAGCAATATAAATTGAAATCACACATGAAATGAAATAACATAAATTTTAATCATCGAAATAATTAATTGGAATTTCTAATATCAATGATCAAACAATCAGTAAATATCAATTACTGGAAATGTCAAGTATTTTTCCAATTTTGTTACATATCTAATGAAATAATAAAAAATAAATAAATAAAAAACAAACCATCTTCGGTGACAGGAGCTTCTTGATAAGGTGGTACAACTTGACTCAACTGATGTACATGATTTAATTCAGAATAATGTGAATAACCATGTACTCCTTGTTCTTTAAACTTTTCCGCATCCCAATTATTATCAGGTACCGCGTTATACGCGTAATAATCCTGTGGCAAATGCGACTGTTGTTGTTGTTGCTGTTGCTGTTGCTGTTGCTGTTGCTGTTGCTGTTGTTGCTGTTGCTGTTGATGATGATGATGATGCGGTTGATGTTGATGATGAGTATAACACTCCATAACTGCAAACTGTTGATCCTCGTTAAGAATATCACGCACGCTGAACGGAGTCGCTGATATCGAAGATGACAACATTCTAAAGCATTCTACTTTTTCCAAGGATTATTAAAATCCTTAATGTGTAAACAACAAACTGAAACAGGTAATATTTGCACCTAATGTTTTCCGTTTTTTAATTCGAATTTCTATCAAATCACTTTTTGTTAACACATTCGATAAAACATCAATTCGTTTGACTTTTGTACTCGATTGACACCGACATTCAACGCGTAGAATTCGAATAAATGAGTTCAATATTTTTTAAGATAGATGTCAAAGTTGAATATTAAATTTTAAAGGGATGGTCACGGTCATGGAACGGTCAGGTCGGAAGGCGAACGTTTAATGTGACTTGGTTTGTCGATGAGAGTCAAGTGTTGGTTGGGGTTTCTCCTCGGACAGGGACAGCTAAACTATAGTAACGTGCGCGCGCGTGCCTTCTGAAACGTTATATGTGTGTATGGGTGAACGCGTGTCCTTCTTCTCATCTCAGACGTGTTCTCTGCTCGCGAAGACGAGATTTTTACCAGCACACCCACATACTGAAGCTACCGCTTCACGGGGGTGGTCGTTTTATCTTTACAATTAGATTTATTCTATCCCTCCTTTTCTTTTTCTTTTTTGTCTACCTTCATTTTATCTACTTTGCTTAATTTTATCTGACATTTGTTCGCATTGTATCAGTAAATACATTTTGAGTATGTAAATATAATTCAGTTAAATTTTTGACTTTATCAGGCTTATCCTAACAGAGTTTCGAATTGGTACATTATTTTTTTTATTTGTGAATTTTAATTTTTCAGGATTATTTAAGTTGTTGTTTAATTTTATTCACTTGTAGTTTTATAATTTAAGTTTAAATTTGTTGGAAAGTTTCAACTTTGATAATTGGTATTCATTGATTGTTTTATTATTGAGAATAGAAATTAAATTTCCAAAAAATTTTTAAGATTTTAAAGAAATGTTTTATGTAAAAAATACTTCGAAGTACAAATTTTTGACTAATATTTACAAGTTATCAAATAAAATTAGGTTCAAATAACATTGAGCTTATATAATTTCGATGCTTGACATTAACACAATTTTTTGAATCCTTTTTTATTATACAAATTACTAATTGCAAAACAATTTGTAGATTTTATTTTTGATATTTAATATTTAATAATTTAATTGTTTTTTTAAATACGACTTAAATTAAATACTTTTTTGTGTAACACGTTAAAAGATGGCTTTTATGGAGTCATGGTTGTTAACGAGGACATCGGAGAAATATCAAAAAAAAGATTGCGAATAATGACGATCATGTCTGGTGGTACAGCATTATAATTAAGATCGGGAGTAGTATTCACGATGCGAAATAGCTTTTTGCTGGCAAGACAGCCATAACGCGTGAGTTAGTTAGGGAGGTGGAGCAAAATTAAGACCCGCCTATATTGTCTCTGTTGACGAATCAAAAGATCGAGAGATCTGAGTCTTCCTTTCTGAACTCAACGATTAAATGCGTCCTTCACATGCATACATACATTTATGTGTTACTATGCAAGTATATCATTCATCGTACCAAGAAATCTTAATTTATTAATTAGATATTTGTATAACTAGTGTAAGAATTAGACTAAAATTATCGTTTTAGGGGTATTAACAAAAAACAAGATTTTTAAATTAATTAATTATAGATCAGCTATCATAAATGTTGAAATATTAATTTACAAATTTATCTATTTTTGTAATAATTATTTAATTTAATTAATGGTAGAAATAAACAATGTTGCATCATTGATTTAACAAGAATAGAGTATTCTTGTTAATAATTATTATATTCGATGAATTTATTTTTAACAAACTTTTGAAAAATATTGATAAACTAATAATCGAAGTGATTCAATTTATTAATGTTCTTTTTTTTAAATTCATCTTGAATTAGTTGAAAATTGTAATTTAAGTTTACGTTGACATAATAACAGCGTGATCATTACGTCATTTAGAACAGAGTTTCGGATTACATATCGTTTATGAGAGATAGTTTACGAAGAATTTAAGTAGGAACGAGAAAAAAAAAAGAAAAGAGAAAGAAATTCGTGACGTGTGTCCTACGCGTGACATACTTGTCAAGAACGAAAAAATTTCACTTTCGGTGACGAATCATAATTCCCGTGAAACGAGGGGTTCGAGTAAAAACAAAACAATACTTTTTTTCCCGCCCCTAATCGGTCAATAGTAAAAAGAAAAGAAAAAAATATATATTAACCCTCTTTTTCGAGTCTGCGATTTTGACGACGAGTCTAAACTAACATAATCCAGACCTCTGTTTCTAGAGGCGCCCGGAACCCTTGAAGCTCGACCCTGGAATTCGAAAAATTGAACCCTCGAAACTCTATCTTCCCAGCTAATTTAAAAAAGGGAAATATATTAAAAAATAAAACAAAAGGAGAAATAAAAAATAAACTTTCTTTATTTTGTTTATGTTAATATTGTCTCACATCCCAAGTATGACAACGTTAAATTATCTCTGATTAATATTATTATCATTTATTACAGTATAATATTAGTATATTTGTTATGATAATCACAGATGTTATATAAAGAAGACTTATATTCCCATTTTTATATTTATAAAAAATATTGTTTGTTTGTTTTTTTTTTGCTTAATTATTATTCCATATTTAAATCAATTTTTCTTCAAGTAAGTATAATTATTTCACATAAGTTTGATCATAGATTTTACATTAATAAAACTTTTTGCTATTTTAGTTTTTGTAAAAAATATAAGATTTTTTTCTTTTTAAACTAGAAATAGGTATAATTATACTAATTCCAACAATACTTACAATAATTATCGAACAAATGTTGATTTTTAAAATAGTAACAAATTGTTGTGTATTTTCTCAATGTGAGTTGGAAAGATATTTTTTTGAAATTAATAAATAAAATATACATAGGCAATATATTATGATGTTTTTGTTTCGGGTGGTTACGTGTTAGGCTAACGATATGGTGCTGGTGAATATACGTGACCCTGTCGTGTATAGTAGGCGCCAAGAGATAGCAAAGGCGCCTTCTTAACTGTGGGAAAGCGACGTCCGCACCGGCGTTTCGAGGACCTGTTGGGTACGTGTGCGAACTCATTGTTTAACTACAAATTTTGTTTATTAAAATTTATAGAAATAAATTTAAGTTATTGTTCATAATTAAGTGCTACATTTCAATTGTACGCATAATTCTTGCACATTTTTTTGTGCGTTGTTGATAATTATTTGTAAGTATTAATGAATAATTTAATTAACTTTTATTTATAAAAAGAAACTTGATTTTTTCTTTCAAAATAATTTAATATTTATGAAAGTTTTTTTTATTAAAGAATAAATCGAAATTATGCATTTAGTTAATAAGGTATAATCATTCAATATTTATATCTATGACAAATCAATTACATTAATCCTGTAATAAATTATTTTGCTAATACAGTAATTTTGCACAACTATTTAATAATATTTACAAATTTTAATATCCTGCTTCTAATTAAAATTCTGCATTTATGTTATCGATATCCTTAGAATATAAGTATTAGGTCGTCCCGAAAATTTCTTCCTTTTTTGGTGATAAGTTAAACAATATTGCATGCGTAATATACTTTTTTTTTGTATTTTATGTTATTTTACTAAATAATATCGATTCTACTCTATTATACTTTTTTTTTTATTTTAAATTATTCAACCTAAAAAATATTGTACCTGTAGAATTACTAAAAAAAAAGGAAGAAACTTTTGAGACGACCTAATATAACATTTATATACATTTTAATTAATGATAATCAAATCTCTAAATATGATATTAGAAGGATTTATAAAAACAAATTCATACGAAATAAAAAAACGATTCTTTTCCTTCACAAATTTCTCAAATACATATAATCAAATATAAGTAAATACGCGTACCTGTGAGATAAAATTGACATTGTAAAATTTGTCGGTATTAAAATAACTATTTCAGGAGGAGGAGGAGGAGAAGGAGGTGGTAGTGGTAAAAGCAAAAGAAATCCTGAAGCAACGTGGTGTCCAGTTGCAAGACGTTCCCGAACATCCATGTTGGCCGTAAATACAAAAGGGCCCTTTGTGAAGAGAAAGAGAAACCGTGTCCGTATCTTGCGTCTAAATACACAAGCTATATGCGACCGGGCACCGATAATATTCTATCCGTCGGGAGTTTATAGAAAATCCCCTATATATACTTTCTGATCTCTTCTCTCTATATTTCTGTCCTTTTTCATCGTCATCATTTTTTTTTCTTCGTTTTCGTTGTCGTAGCAGACTCGTGGGAGGTCAGATCCCGCCCATGATGACCTTTTTATTTTTCCTTTCTTTACTAGGATCTGCTTTTTCTCTCATAAAAAAAGAAAAAAAAAAATCTTCTACTTTACGAACAATAAGACTGTCTGTGATTTGTTCATCTTCATGCGTGGAATGAATCATTATAAGAGAGAATTCTAATTATAATAATGTTTCATATATTGGAAAATGTATACATAAGTGTGAAGTTAATTTTTTCTGGCTATTAAGTTTAATTAAAAAGATTTAATATCAAGAACATTCTTATGTGGTATAAGAACAAATTTTATATATTGCAATTTGTGATTAATTTTAGAATCATAAATATAATTTATTTGTTTTCTTGTTGTTTACTTTGATTAATTTTTGAATAAATTAAAATATAATTTAAAAATTGATCAAGCATTGTCATTTATTATGATTGAATTTTATTTAATGTTTGGAAATTTAGATTAGATAATAAATAACCCAACGAGAGAAAGAGAACTGATTTTCCTTTTAACGAAGGAAGTTCGGATGGTACAAAAAAAGAAGTTGTTTCCCTTAGATGTTGTAAACAAAAATTGGAACACGTATCTGTTGAAATTTCAGTCGATGAGCAAAAGTCGTCGGCATCGGTATTGTACTTAAAAAGGACAGCTAAGAAAGTACTAATATAGGTTCTTCCCGCACTTATAATACTACAAAGAGAGAGAGAGAGAGAAAAAGAGA